CTATGTGGTTGGGCTACCATAGATATTATGACAATGCCTTTCTGGTCAATATATGGTGCCTGAAAATTCGAAGCATTTTCAAAAGATTTTTTATGCATGCCCCGTCCCGGTATTGCGATTCATTCTCTTCATTTCAACACATTTATGATTCACATGCTGTTTTCACAAGTGATGCTGGCTTTGTTGAGCCCATGAAGCGATCAGAAAGGGTGCTATGTTACAGATTTTTAATTTTTTTAGTTTCAATTTTCTATCGGAGCTTGCCTCTTCAGCAGGGTGTTCCCTTTCTGAGTACACATTCTGATGTTATCGGATGTGTGGAATCACCTATCTGCAATCGTAACGAATTCGCTGTTCCTTCATAAGTGGCGATTCTGGCACTTCCCTAATTGTCTTGCCCAACAAAACCAAGGCTATTTTCTGTCAAGAGTTCAGCTTTTACTCAGAATTTCTCGTTTCTTTTCCCACAATTACATGGATTTAGCATTGGGTGACGTGGAGAAACGAATAATGAAAAGGCGGCAGGATATCGCTTTGATAGCATAAAACAAGCAAGTGCGGAGAACTCGTCCAAAGATACTGCCGGGTAATTACTTGAGGTGATTTTCTGCTTTCTGCGACTCTGTAGAGTAAGCTACCAACTACAGCCTGTAACTGACGCACCGTCTCACAACAAACAATCGCGAGGTTTGCCTTGGATGCCACGTCCACACAGCGATGCTGCTGATTTCCTCTACCGTACCCTTTCTCCTCAATGCTGGAAAGCATAAGCAGTACTGATCGCAAGAATGCTGAGTTATGGTCAAAAGTTAAACCCCGCACCCCACGCTTTCCGGGCTAGTATCCGTTACGCCACCAGGTCTGTTTGTGCTCACTCAGCTCAGCGGCATAAGCAGTAGGTTATTATGATACAAATAAAGCTACTGAATGCTTTACGAGTTGTCCTGCGTCTAGAAGAGTGTAGCTTAGTGGGTTTGAGGCGGTGAAGGCTCGAATCAAGTGCAGTTGGATGAAATGGAGGGAGTCCACTGGCATCCTGTGCGACCGGCGGTGCTCGAGAACGCTCAAGGGCAAGGTGTACCGGGCAGTAAGGCCTACAATGCTCTACGGCAGTGAGTGCTGGCCCATCTGCAAGGAACCATGAAAGGCAGCTCCACTCAGCTGAAATGAGGATGCTGAGATGGGCCTGCGGCTGGACACGACTCGACAGAGTCAGAAACGAGGACGTCAGGGCACACACACACAGATGACTCGACCAGCGACTGCGATGGCATGGGCACGTATTGAGGAGGCATGAGGACCACCTAATGAGGGAAGCGTTAAACTTGGGCAAGCGACCACGATGAGCCCCAAGTAAGAGCTGTAAGGAAGAGGAAGGGTGCGTCATCAAGAAGGACCACACTGAAGTCCAGGCCTCAATCGAACCGTGGACAGGGGAAAATGCGGACCCTGCTACGGCGCGAACTAGCGCTTTGGAGAAGAAGAAGAAAGTAGAAGTTACAAAATAGTACTTGGGAAGTTAAGACCGCCCCAAAAAGAGGGCGTGACGAGTGATGTGGAGCTATTGGGATCTGCTTAAAGACAATTCCCGCATCAAGTTTATCACGAAGCAAGTGCTCAGTCATGAACCAGTAGTCATCAAAAACTCATGAAGAAAGAAGCGAAAAAAGGTTAGAAACACCCTGAGCCCCCTAGCCGCGGGGTCGGCGCTTGGAGGAGTTCATCATGAGGACAAGCCCAATCAGCAGGATTCTAGGTGCAACCAATTCCCGGCAAGAGCATAGGAAAATCGCCCTACGACGCTCCAGGCAACGCTATGTACACACGCAACTTGTAAGCCGTTGTCTTGAAGAGTTACAGTACGCGGTTGCACCGGTTGCAAAACTTCGCGTCTCTAGCTTCGTTATCTCGCCATTTCGAGTGACGAAAGTGGTATATTCTCTGCGAGTGCGGACAACGATGCCAAATGCACGGAGGCATTTCGCTGATCACTTGATCGCGGGAAGTGTCTTTAATCAGCTGTTCCATGTGAGCGCTGTGCTGAGTCCGGTTCCAAAAGTTGTGTATTAGGTTTGGAAAGTCATGAATGTCGTTCGAAAACGGTGAAATTCAATTGAAACATGCGTAATAATATATTCAATAAAATGGTGTATTGACATATCAATTTCGAGCCATTTTGATCTGTTGAGATTTGGCAGTGAGTGGAAAATGTGCTATTAGAGAGGAACAGAAGCGAATGGATTGATTTATAAAGTAAAAGTGCTTTGAATAGCGTGACGATGAAAACAAACTTGTTGACGAAAAGATGGAACCTTTGTTTGAACTAACATGTTGTGCAGTAAGGGCAGACCTTCATTACAGCGTATTGATTAAAAGGCGTTCTCTAAAAATCATTCAGCAATTTTGCAGGCCTTCCTTTACATCTGAAACCTGGAAGTTATTGTGCAGGTTCTGCAGTTAAGGACATCAGAAAAAGTTAAGATGGGAGAGAGCCAGACTTCGAGGAAGGAAATGGCAAATAAACTCCTCTCGGTGAGCAAATATTTTGGTGGAAGAGGCCTTCGGGAGGTCATAGATTGTAAATATTTTCTAAAAATGTTGACGCAAAAAAAGTGGTCAGTGGTCAGAGCAGAGTTCACTGCGAAAAGTTTTCCCACCAAGTTTATCTTCTCGGGCGCCTATCTATTACACAGGTCGACAGGAAAAATGTTCGTCCACTAGTGACAGACTTCGGGGACTGATAATTTGTGCAGCGATGGAAAACAGGCTCGAAAAAGCCGCTTTTGCTTCCGCGTTGCCCCAGCGTCATGTGTCCTCTCACCATCAGCAAGGAACCTGTGCTATTGCTATTCATATCCGCCACCTTTTTTTCTTTCTCCTTTCTTTTTTTGTAGAAGCCACAAATTAATCTCCAACCACGCGGCGCTCGGTTACGTGACTATTTGAACTTTTTGCATGGCCCTATTGCGAGACTCCTGTATGCAGTCAGATGGAGGACAGCTGCTGCCAAAGCATCGAAGCGTACAAAAAACATGTGATGGGCCAGGGGATGAGCCTTTGAGGGAGGGGCTCCGGGGCATGTGAATCACTTTTCATACCTCGGAATTGCAGAGGCGAGTTCGCACTGATCCTAGAACGCCACACCGACCAGAAAAAGCAGAGAAAAGCAGAAACTTGAGACGATTGGAGGGTACAAGTTCAAGATGTTCACAGACCGTTGAAGACGCGCCCGCCTTCAAAACTGGTATTTCGCGGCTAAGTACTATGGATAAGATGGTAAATGACGCAAAAGTGAAGAAAAAGCGCGAGAACTCCCTCCTGCAGAGCCTCGTAAACACCACGATGAACCGCTCCTGTTCTTGCATTAGTTGAAGAAAGGGCGTTGTCGGATTAGTTCTCATTTCTTGGTGCCGTTGTTCCTATTATCACCCCGTTCTCACCATTGGAAATCGAGATAGCTAGTAGTGTAACAACTGCACCACCGGCAAGCCTTCAAAAGTGAAAGTTGGGCGTTGCGATGGCTTCGTTGCTGACCAGTCACGCTTTGCTTGCGCACTTTTGAGCTGAAAAATTAGTAGTTCTCCTAAGCTGAGTATCAGGGTCACAGCTACAATGTCCAAAGAAGGCGCCTGAACATTGAAGGCAAGTGGCACGGCTACTCGCAGGCAAAATACGCCTAGCACGGGAGAATATTGTGATTCGAGCAGGGGTTGCGTGGCGGCTTTTCCAGCCAATGGTGGGCGGCATTACAAGACCTAGGCTGCGTTTATACTTTGCGGCAGCGTAGCGTAGCGCTTCCAGCGTACGCCAGCGGCAGTGCCGGGGAGAGGATGCATATCGATCTAGCGTTCCCAGCGTACGCTAGCGTTACGCCAGCGTTTCTCCAGCGTTTCACCAGCGTTTTGCTAGCGTTTGCAGCGGCAGGGGAGTAGAGACTATGGGAGAGCTGGAGGGTACAAAACACATCGATTGCGCGTCTCTCACTCGCCCTCAGTCTCTACAATACACATCGATTCCGCGTCTCTGACGGCCACATAGTCTCTACAATACACATCGATTCTGCGTCTCTGACGGCCACATAGTCTCTACAATACACATCGATTGCGCGTCTCTTACGGCCACATAGTCTCTACTCCCCTGCCGCTGCAAACGCCAGCAAAACGCTGGTGAAACGCTGGAGAAACGCTGGCGTACGCTAGCGTTACGCTGGTGACGCTGGGAGCGCTAGATCGATATCCATCCTCTCCGGCACTGCCGCTGGCGTACGCTGGAAGCGCTACGCTACGCTGCCGCAAAGTATAAACGCAGCCTAACCGAGGTGCAACATGCCGACCCGAATGCTCACTGCAACCGACCGCCCACAAACGACCGAAGGGTTACATCGATTCTTATCCTCATACTCCATCGCTTTAGAAGTAAAAAGGATATGGAGCGTTGCTGCGTTGATATATGAAAACATCCCTGCGACCGTGTCTTGAAGCGGCTGTTGGCACGATGCCACAAGAAACTCGTCCAAAACGGTGGTCTAGTGCCGCTCAGGATAAAGGCTTTTCCGCAGGTTTCTGGCTATTTAACTTCGCTTTTCTTCATTGTCCCCACTGCACTAGCACCACTGCTACTATTTTCAAGCAAATACCAATTTTCGTGCCTTTAACGGTAAGCGAGCATGCTTCGCACTCAATTGCAGTGTACAGTTGTCACAGTTTATCACAGAAAACTATCAAAATCACATATCGATCAAGTCAATCCGATCGACAATCGATACGTGCGTATTCATTATTGCCTGGAGGATATGTAGCTGTTGATGTCTTGTAATGTTGAAAAACCTTCCAGGTCACTGGCTTCAGTCTCTATCTGGAACTAGGCTTTTTATGTATCTAAATAGGTCATTATTGCTACGGTACTCACCCCAAAGTGATGGGTAAGCGCTCCAGCCATCATTTCCAGGAAATAATCGCGGTCCACGTTGATGTCGTCACGAAGATTGAATGACATGTCTATGTCGTCAAAAGATTTGCTTCGTGAAGAACGACGCCAAACGACGAAGTTTGTCTTCAGTCTGAGAATGAAATCGATGAGGATAACCCTGGTGGAAAACTGATTAGTAAAGGTCTGCAATATTTTGATCTTGCAGTAGTTTGGTTACGGTAGCTTTTCCTGGAGCTGCTAACAATTATAAGATTAGTCAACAGCACTGGGCACGATGGCTGGAGGCGGGCGGTTACTGCCAACGTCATTGGAGGATGGGCTGCGAGAGGGCATTTGACCACACCTCACTCACTTCCACCTATGATGTTGACAGTAACCTGCCCCTTGCCCTTATACGTGCCCCTTGCCCTTATATGAGTCGAAAATCTCGTTCTGATGAGCAAAGGACGAATAATCGGCCTGCTCAATTGCCTACTGCTGTACAGTAGGACATAGCAAGGGGTGCAGAACATCTGGGCTGTTGACTTCGTTTGTGGTCAGCTGATGCACCCTCAGCGCTTTCACACTACTTTGGCACCAGAGTTCATTTCATGTAGGTTGTGCCGGATAAGCCTTCAAACTTGCATAAAAACAGAAAACGTGGGTGTCGTAATGACTTCACTTGTAAACCCTTCTCCTACAAATCTGTAACCCTTAATCTACCCTACTCAAATATCCAGTAGCGGATAGAGCGGAGAAATGGACATGAAATGACAACCATCTCTGACAAGGTGGAAAGGACCGCCTCTGTTTTGGATTGTTTTCTTCTTCCATTCATTTCTTTTTCTTTCTTCCTAACTGATTTGACGATTTATTCGCCTGACACATTCAGTTCGTTCCTTGCGCAGGAAACCCGTGATGGCTGAGGTTGCACCTCCTGAGTGATTCGAACATATAATAGTTTTGAAAGGGGGAGGGGCGGCTTCAACGAAGGGGAGGAGGCACTGCACTTTTGCACTTTCGCTGCCTCGCTATTGCCGGTTTGCATGCTCTTTTCTGATGAAACCTGTGAGCTCCTGTGAAGCTGGCAAGCTCGTCGAGACACTCTGGTAGGTCCTGTTAACTGTTGTAAGCTCATGAAATACCTCTCCAGATCCAAACTCGACACGTTGATGAGAATTAGCAAAACTGCAATATGCCCCCCCCCCCCCCAAA